CTTGCCACAGATTCTCGATTGGATTTACATCTGGACTTTGACTGGGCCATTCTAACACATGGATATGTTTTGTTTGAAACCATTCCATTGTTGCCCTGGCTTTATGTCGTTGTCCTGCTGGAAGGTGAACCTCCGCCCCAGTCTCAAGTCTTTTGCAGACTCCAAGAGGTTTTCTTCCAAGATTGCCCTGTATTTGGCTCCATCCATCTTCCCATCAACTCTGACCAGCTTCCCTGTCCCTGCTGAAGAGAAGCAGCCCCAGAGCATGATGCTGCCACCACCATATTTGACAGTGGGGATGGTGTGTTCAGAGTGATGTGCAGTGTTAGTTTTCAGCCACACAGCGTTTTGCATTTTGGCCAAAAAGTTCTATTTTGGTCTCATCTGACCAGAGCACCTTCTTCCACATGTTTGCTGTGTCCCCCACATGGCTTGTGGCAAACTGCAAACGGGACTTTGTACTGACGTTAGATTACACACAGGTGCACTCTATTTAGTCATTAGCACTCATCAGGCATGTCTATGGGCAACTGACTGCACTCAGACCAAAGAGGGCTGAATAATTACGCACACCCCACTTTTCAGTTATTTATTTGTAAAAATGTTTGGAATCATGTATGATTTTCGTTCCACTTCTCACGTGTGCACCACTTTGTGTTGGTCTTTCACGTGAAAGTCCAATAAAATTGATTCATGTTTGTGGCTGTAATGTGACAATGTGGGAAAGTTCAAGGGGGCCGAATACTTTGGCAAGCCACTCTACATGCCTCCTGTCTTTCATTTGCCTACTTGTCCTCTTTTTTCCTCAAACCTTTCAGGGATTTTCTCTTGTTTTTCTTCAGTTTGCAATTGATTTGCTTGTGCATGCATTTTGAGACTTTTGTTGGTTTTTGCCTTTTGCCTGCCCCTGGTGAGCCTTGCTTTGCTTCCTGTGTGCAACCTTGGCATTGATAAAGAATATAGATCAACTCTCTCTGCCTTTTGTGTGTCCTACATTTGGGTCATCTTCCCTGTGGTTTGTCACAATTGTGAGAAAATCACTTTTACAATTCAGCATTTCTATTCCATTTTAAAATATGGCTGTAATTTCATCAAACTATCTAATACTCTAACCAGGAATACATGAAAAACAACACCACCTCATCATTCCTGCAAAATCATATAGATACAATCACATTCCTAAACCTTCTTGTGCTCTAGAACTAAACTCCATCCTGTTCTCGCAAAATAAATAAACCAGCAGATATGCAAGGGCCATGCTGCAGTGAACAAGTGCTTTGGTTTTGCACAGCTGTGTTTTTGTTGTCATGCCTAAAAATACTTAATAGCAGCACTTACATGTAAATGAGCAAACAGAAAAGTCGTCAGTCTACTTCGATTCTTTCCCATGTAACATAATTGCCATGATTGCGGTACTCGGCACTGCTACTTCCAGACACCAATCTGCTGTTCAGCATTTGTTCTGTCTGCTCCATCAGTGGAGTCCAATTGAAATATTGATCTTGTTTTACAAAGCCCAAGGTATGAAAGACTTTAGCCCTTTGAATATATATGTTCTGTTAATGCAAAATCAAAGCTGCTGAATTTAGATTTTTGGGGGGGTTAACACACAGGAATTCATTCCTCAGAAGCTGCACACACTCCCATATTAAAATGTGGCAGCTATCTCATCCATCACTGTGAAAATAATTAGATTCAGGCCTGAGCCAAATAAATCCAACAGAGACAGAGGCAGTTTGGAGCATTGCCATTCTGCGCCGGTGTTAAAACACAAGCAAGCAGACACGACAAACATTATTTACTGATCATTTGTGTCAGGCGGTGACTGCAGGAGCAGAGATCTGCCCAAAAGCTTGTGATAATTGATGGTGACTACGTGAATGTGCCAGTGATCACAGACTGTTGTGATGAAGGGTTAATACACACGAGACTCTGTAATACAATTGTCCTCTTTCGTTTCAATGTGTTTTGCTTGCAGTGCAGAATAAAGGAATAACATTTTCCACTTCCCTTCATGTGTGCCATGAGTTCACAAACGCAATAACCTTAAATGCATTACAGCACAATATGCCAAAGCACGCATTTGCTTATATTTTATTAGATAAATAAACACATTGTGCCGCAAAGTGGAAGAACACACGTTAAAGTGTCTGCATCATTGGTGCTTTCAGTCTGAAATAGTAATTAAAGTAACAACAAGAAGTTTGATATTACTATTATAGTTCTATATTGAAAGCAGATGCACAAAGACTTTGAAAGTGTGAGCCTGATCCTAATAGTGACAACATTCATCTCTAAAACTGATTTGTTATAAACAACTGACAGTCTAATATTTCACAGTTCATTTATTCAGAACTACTGCTTTGTAATTAGCAGTGATATTGGAGGGTCACTGGTCACTTCATTAGTTACAGTTTGGTAGTACCAACAAGGTGCTGGAAACAGATTGTTGAGTATCAGAGATTTGGGACATGATAGAGTCACACAGTTGCTGTAGATTTGCCGGAGCACATACATGACAGTGATCTCCCCTGGCCAGTTAACATCGTCTCAGCATCTGACTAGGATGCCTCCTGGACGTCTCCTGGGTGAGGTTTGAGTATCTGTGCTTGTACTGCTCTCTGCACTATAAGTTAAAATTAAGAAGATCAATTAATGCCAGGATTTCATACTTCTTTGAAAACACAGAATATATAAATATTTTAAGAGCAATGTCAATAGGCAAAAGAGTCGACACATAGATTTTTAATCATAATGATTTTAGTTTAATCTGTGTTCACACCAAAAGAAGGATGCAAGATAATTCAAAACAGTGGGTTTCACTTTAACTTGCACTCATAATATAAGTACGATTACAGGAGGATTACCTGCAGCTTGGGGATTTTTGCTCACCTGCTTTTCTATCAAACATCAGAATGCTCCTTAATGACTCCTTTCAATAACAACACTGCACTCTTTTGCTCCCTTCATACTGCTACAGTTTAATTTGGTAGAAAACTGATTTTTTTTAATTAATAGTGGCCTATTTCCAACAATTGTCTAGATATTAGAATCATTGTTTACTCACAACAATATGATAACACAGAATATGACATTATTATAAAGGTGGAACACCTTTACTTTTGATGCCTTTAGTACATTTTCCTGTTGCTTCATTCAACATTTTTTTTTATTATTATTATTTTTGCCAAAGAAAAACAAAATCTCTATTTCAAAGTTAAATTATTTGATCAGTCACTTCAAGGTGCTTTGTACTGTAAGGTCAAAACCCTACAATAACACAGAGAAACACACAACAATTAAGTGACCCCCTTTGAGCAAGCACTTGGCGACAATACGAAGGAAAAAACTTCCCATGAAGAAACCTCCAGATAACCAGGCTCGGGGTGGGGTGGCCATCTGCCGTGACTGTTTGGGGGGTTAGGAGAGGCAGACAGGAAGATTAGACAAGCACTATGAAAGAGAGACAGAGATTAATAATAACTAATTATTAAAGATTAAATGCAAACTGATCTATAAACACACAGAGAGTGAAAAGAGATGAGTGAAGATGCCAAATGAAGTCTTTTCTCTCCTCACCTATGAGTCTTTGCCAGTCTGCGGTGACACATCCATTGCCCTGCAAGGTTTCAGGACATACACTACAGGTGATAGGATCAACATAACATAACTGATGACTGGACTCCAACCGAGGACCTCCTTGCTGTGAGGTGACAGTGCTAACCACCACCTACGATATTACATGATAATATAACATATTTTTGTGCGCAGTCGAGCTGTTTAAAGCAGCTTTTGTGAGCAATACAGTGTCTGTGCATGAGCTAAATATGGGCTGAGAATTCAAATAATGTGGAGCATTACTTATTAACACCAGCCAAGCTGCTCCAAAAATTGTTAGCAGCCATGCTTTTTGGCTCCATTAGACACTGGCAGGTAACCAACCATGATGCTTTCTGTTGTTCAGATGTAGCCTGGCTGGGAAAATATTCAAATGGATAAAAATAGTAACATTTTAGAACAAGAGGCATTCAAAAAGTCTCTTGAACACTAGTTATAATACTGATGCAAATGCCCCTGCTGGTAAATTTTAACTGACCACAGGATGTATTCCCTTTTTTTACAGCATACTCCATTTCAGCAAAAACATCACTGTGTTGTTTTTGCTGCTTCTTCTTTCTTTTTTTTTCAAAGGTTTCTGATATAAAAAAGTTGCTCCAGCACCATTATGGGTGGCAGTTAATCAGCATCACTGGCAACACATTAAACACCTTCTGGTATTTTTGAGCTTCAAAATAACCAACAGAGCAGGTTTCACCTTTTCAAGGTCGTCCCTCCCCAATATCAAACTGGGTACCAGTGGATTCGGAGATGACGGTCTTAACATGAACCAGTTGCTGGTTTTCACTGAGATTTTAATATGAATAACTGCTGCCACCTGCTGGAGCAATTTCCTTGTTATTAATGCTGAGCTTCTAAATGTCAGAATATATTAGTAGAAAGGGGGGGAAAGGCAAACTGCTAACTTTATAGTTCACAGCCCACATGGGGCCATTAATCTTGTTATGCTGTCACACAAATATGCTCTTAACCTGTTCATCACCCAAACCAATGCTCTCAAAACATGAAGCCACACTGCTGCTCACTGATTGTCGCATCGCTTAACAAAATAAATAATAAAATATTTATGAATAAAATTAATCTTTATATTATTAATAAAAATTAATAAAAAAAATTAATAAAAATTAATAAAATATAATAAATAATACAAAATTAAACCTTTCTGGTTTGTCTGATCAACTTTATCCATATGCAGTTATTGCAGCTGCGTAACACGCTTCAAAGCAAAACTCCCACATCTCACATTTGTTCTACAGAAGTTATTTTTAATAAACACCTGTCAAATGAAAGGTTTGCTTCTGAGAGGCAGCATGTGAATCCTCTTCAGAAAACAACCAAGACAACTAACTGGAATGAGAGATAACATGTTTTTTTCTTAAAAATAAAAAATAAAAAAAGCAAAAAGGGTAACTGGGAGGGGAAAAAGGAGACCAAACAACAGAAATACATTAGTTTGTGCAACAGCAAATACAGCTGAATTATATACAAGCATATCTTTACTGAACATTCATCAACAGCTTCAACTATGCATGTACAATGAGGGCTCTCCTATCGGTTTACAGGAAAAGTGTTGTTTTCAGCTTGAGTTTAATCAGTCGTCACCATTTGTTCCAGTCAGCGCTGAGCAGCCAGTGTTTTCAAGTGCTACAGAGGTCTGCAAGAAATGGTAATGCAATACTTCAGATGTTCAGGAAATTAATATGGAAATTAGAAACTGTAACATGATAACATTCAGCAGCTTGCTTTCAGCTCAGAAATAGACGGACACTCGAGTTACTGTTTGATGTAATGAAGGATGAAAACGTCAAAGTAAGTTGTAAGAAATGAGTTCAGCTTGAGACGTGTTTATAAGACTTGTCGGTCTTAAAATAGCTGGTGGCTTTTTAGGAGAACAGTGCAGCCACAAAACTCTGTACAAATTTAATGAATATCTATCTTAGCTGCTAAACTTTGTATTTATAGTACATTAAACTGTTACTCTATATTGTACTAAAACAGACTGCAGCATTAATGTTATTGTTAAACTGAGAACTTATGTAAACATAACAGAGAAATCTAAATCTCAAACTGACCTGAATATGGAAGATCCCATAGCATGCTTTGAAATGCAGCTCAGGATGCCAGATCTGTCAACAGTATTGGATTTCTCCAAATATTGTAACCGTTATGAACAATCATTAAGGCTGAGTCTAGGGGTTCATCTAAAATTGTTAGAAAAGCAAGGCTTGAGACCAAAAGGTTGCTGGTTTCAATTCCAGTAACATCTGAGGATATGTGGGTGGGAGGAGAAAACAAATAAAATATGACGCTCTTCCATTCTTTCACCAAAAGGAGACAGTGTAAGGCCAGCCAAACAGATTTTTCAGTCAGGCCCGTCTTTCCACATCAATTTTTTTAATTATTACTCCACCTCCCTCTTCAGGGATCCCCATAAAAATCTTCTTTATAAAAGAAACATAAATTTGTACAAGTATTTACAAAGGGAAGGAAGGGGAGAACAAGGCATTTAGTGTTTGGGTTCTACAATAATCCACAAAGACATTGTTCCACATCCCTCAATCCAACATTCAAAACATTACAGGATTACAGGAGTCCATTTGGAGTGTTTTTTGTTGCAGTGTTCAATCTCAGCCAACTATCGCTTCAGGGCGTGATGTGTCCTGGGCCAGCCCAAGTCCCTGAGACATTAGCGTTTGACTTCTTAGTTTTTTGCTAACAATCTCAACTCGAGTCTGAATCACTGCTGTCTGAGGAAGAGGATGAGGAGGAGGAAGAGGACGAGTCTGAGCTGGAGCTGCTTCCGCTGAGGCGTGATGGCTGGGCGTGAGTCTCCACTGCACTCGGCTTTTCCACTGAGGAGAAAATAGCAAACAGAACAATGTTTAATGGATGCACCTGTACAAAAAGGAAGAAAGCACTGAAGTGTTTCTCTCAGCGTCTTTGCCAAAACAGCCCATACGTGCAAAACCTCACATTTCATCTGGTTTTTACAGACAATTCTGCTTCTACAAACAGTCTAGTGATGGAGAGTGTGAACCACTGGAGCCAAAGTTTCCTAAAACAAAAGAATAGCTCATTTATAGCCAGATGTGATATAATGGCCAGGGGATAACATGTAAACAGAAGTTAAAACTGCAACTCAAATACACACAGGGTAGAAAGACTGATAAACTCCAGGGGCCTGATGCATAAAACTCTAGATTCACAACTTAATCTGTGTAAACACAGAAATAGTATCTTCTTTCCATCTAAAGCCAGCTGTACACATTGTGCTCTTTTGCAAATCAAAAGAGGAAAAACCTTAAGATGTACAGCCTTAAATATAGTCTAAACGTCACCATAACAGGCTTGAATCGCTCTAGAAAGTGTGCACACGGTTTAAAAAGGTATGTTTTAGCTCAACACTTTCTAAATCCCTGCTTGTGTGGGGGCACAGGCGCACACATGTCTAATACTATGCATCCCGCTTCAGCACACAATCATGGTGTTTAAATACTTTGCCATTTTTCTCGCTCATTCTGATCTACACTCCTGGTTTAATCCCTCCCTGCTACTAATGCATTTACAGGCCGATGAATGTTCTTACTCTTCATACAATCTTTAAGCAGCAGGAGAGAAGAAGATACTTTAATGAAATTCAATTTTCAATTCAATTGTATTTATATAGCACTATATCACAACAACAGTTGCCTGTTATTGTAAGGTTAAGACCCTAAAATAATAAAGAAAACCCCTACGAGTGTTTCTCAAATAAAAGCCCATTATGGTATGCAGATAAGCGAAACAAAAGCCCTGTCCACACTTTAAAGAAATAAACAAACTGGTTTTCTAATGATCAGCAAAAGTCTCAGACACCTTCACACACATGAGGCATTCCATATTATTATGATGGCTTACTGTAGATTTACACAACCAAAACACATTTACATCTCAGAGGGATTTTTAAGGTAGTTTGTTACCAAGTATAGCATTATATGAAAAGACTGTCCTGACTATACAAACTAGAACACAAGTCAAATCCAACCGTTCTGTCTCTCCCAATTTAGAGTCATTATTTAACCTAACATGCATGTCTGGAGTACTTGAGGGAACTCGCACAGGGAGCAAAGGCCAACTCTACACTTGAAACGCTGTGCCATCTTCGCTGAATTATTGAAGTGCACAGTATTTGAGTAACGTAGAGAATCTGTAAGCTGCTCTGAAAACCAGACATGTTTGCATCCACACAGAAATGTGATGATGTGAGAGCTTACCTTTAGGTTTCGTGGGTTTCTTGACTGAATTGAGTTGTCCGCTGACATCTTGCAGCCTCCTCTCTAGCTCCCTCCTCTTCTCCAAGGTCAGCTCCTCTTTAGACTTGCCAATGCTGCCTTTCTTTGCTGCTGCAATATAAGATGATAAAAAGGTTGTTACAGAGCTGGGGACCAAACAGAAATACAGTGGTAAGTATACTGTGTTACACCATTTCTAAGTCAGTACTGAGTAGTGTCAAGTTAAATACAGAGATTAAATTTCTTGCTCTCTTTACTAATTTTAAGTAGCAGCTTAGTAGTGCTACGCTGAGCTCTGCAGTCATATCTACATGCTGTAGTTGTGACCAGTCACCAGGGGGCAGCGTCAAATATTTGAAGAAACTATCAACTTTAGCTACTTCTATTCACTTTGTTGGTGCTTTAGCTTAGCATCTGCTGCAGAGAGAAGTTATAACATACAAAGAAATGATTTGTAGTGAAATTAAGACTTTCAGTCTCAAGTCTGTCTCCATAGACTCTGGCCTTTACCCGTCAGGTTTTCATTCTGTGTAGCCAAAGAGCTAATCAAATACACGTCAACTCAGAACTTAATGTCAAGAGGAAACCTAGCCTCTCTGTCACTGACAGACATGAAGGAGGGCGCTAGATAGAAAGATTTGAGTGGAACACCGAGGTGATGTGGTTAAACTGTTAAACTAAACTAAACTACATGCCTGTCAGATAGGCGTAATCCTCTGCTACAGTTTTATTTCTCTTGTCAGTCCAGTCAGGGAAATATTACACACTATTGTCATGAAAACCAGATATTTTTGTGCAGGAAAACTGTTATTTTTCCTGCATTAAAACTAGTGTACAATCGTTTCCAAGTCCAAACTTAGATGGCACCGATTAAGGTTCTTAATTTTTTTTTTTTTTTTTTTTTTTTTTTTTTAAATATACATAATCTTTTCTATATATCAACTTATGTATCATTTGTTGTTAAGCACCAACCACTATGAACGCTCTTTACAGATGTTGGATGCTGTTTATCATGGAGCACTGAGATTCATCACAGGATGTAAAACTCTTGCCAACCATTGTACTTCATACTCTTTGGTTAACTGGCGTTCACTGTCCACCCACAGACTGTTGCATTAGTACATTTTCAGTCATAAATCAGTAATTTGTTTACTACAAGTGTATCTAACTTACTATGTGTCACCTGAACAGAGAATCTAGAGCCTACGCTCACAAGCTTTTATTACATTCATTACAAAAAACAAAAAAAAAAAAAAAAAAAAAAAAAAAAAAAAAACCCACAACTACTAGGTTCTTGTTTTTGATGTCAAAAACTTGTTTAGTTACAGCAGTACAATACATACTGGGTTTAGAAATGCAGAGGCGGAAAGTATCCACTCAGCCTTGTAAAGCCTCTTTCCAAGAATTTGATTATATCAACTGTGAGAGCCAGTATACGGTTAACTTTCAGGAATCAAAAGCATTTGTGCCATTTAACCTCAACACTGGATCAGGTTGTTTGACTTTGGGAAGTGAAGGGGCATTTGGACGCAGACGCTATCAGCCCTTAATAAGAATATATAATTGCCCTCCGTGTGTGGCTGCATGAGTCAAAACTACAGGTTCTTTCTTCAGCATCAACTTTACTCTCCAAGTTTAACAGTCTATTTTTTCCTACATAAGATGTACTTAGCCATTACAGACTTTAACATATGTCACATGTTAGGTACTGATAGTAGGTTCTGATACTCAATAACTTGTCAATTACAAAAACATCCAAGATATTGCTAAACAGGAATATGCTGGCGCTGTCTTGGTGGTCATTTTATCTACCTTGTTCAGCATACGGCTTACGGGGCTTCTTCCTCAGACATGTCATCACGTAGCGCTCGAGCTCTTTCAGTGTGGATGGTTTGAGTGTTTCAAAGTCAATCTCAATCTCCTCAGGGTTGGTGTCCCTCAGTGAGGGCTCCCTGGACTGTATGATGTGGACCACACGACCCAGCTTCTCGCCTGGTAACTTGTTGATGTCAAGGCTTAGCTGGCGCTTCTCATCGTATGACATGGGCACGATCTCTTCCTCTTCCTCCGAGTCATAGTGTGGTAACATGGAAGTGGCAAGTTGAGGGTAGAAAGGCTTCTTTGAAGTCCTGAAATAACAGAAGAAGAGCACAGCTATCAGCAGTTTTGCATTCAAAACATTTAACTGGTTGAACAGTATAATTATTTGTTTCACTAAACCCCAAAAAGGAAGTATGATGAAGATGAGATCAAGTTTAAAAAAAAAAAAAAAAAAAAAAAAAAAAAACAAAAAAAAAAAAAAAAAAAAACCACTGGTGTGGTGGTTCACTCTTTATACTAACTTGCTGTTCTTGTTACTCTTCTTCCCCTGGCTTTTCTTGGCCTGGGAGCCACCTGCTTTGGCAGATTTGCTCTTCAACTTGCTGGGCATCTTCCATTCCTCAGAGCCTGCTCTGCTTCGGACTCCTCGATTTCGCTTCTCCAGCTTTTTCTTTTTCTTCTTCTCCTTTTTGTCCTTTTTGTCCTTTTTCTTTTTGGGCTTGACGATGGGGCCTTGGGAGAGAGCAGCTAGCTGCTCGTGCACGGCTCGGAGCTGAGAAAAATATACAAATTAAAGACGTTTTTGTTTCCACATTTAGTTTGATGCAACAAACACCCTCCAATACCTCAATAGTAGCTACTCAATATCTTACTTGTGTGCACACCTGGTCCTGTAATTCAGCCAAGCGATGTGCTCGCTCCTCCTCGCTGTCTGAGCTTGGGCTGCTCTCACTCTCCTCACTCTCGCTGCTAGGCTCACTCTCAGAGGTGGAGGAAGATGAGGAGGATGAGGAGGAGGAAGATGATGAAGAGGATGTTTGATGCCCACTCATGGACATGGCTGTGTGCTCCATGTGTGGTTCATCTGGCATCTTGGCAAAACGGAACTCAAAGACATCCTGAGACATGGGGGAAAAAAAAAAAAAAAAAAAAAAAAGTTAAATGGTAAGAAAGGAGGAAAGTGAGTAATAAAGTAGCAAATATAACTGAAGAAGCCTCTGTGAGGGCGCCTGGTCCATGTAACTGCTGCTCACCTGTAGTTTCCGTGCCATCCCCACAACATCGTGATCAGGTGGATTGTACTTGTAGCAGTTTGAGAACATCAGTCTAACATCACTGGCAAACTGTTGAGCATCTCTGTACTCACGACAGTCCATCTTCCTCTGATTGTAAAAAACAGGAATTGGACATTTATTAGATTTTAATAGAAGATTTTTTTTTTCCCCACTGCATTTTACATTCACATTTAAAATCCTTCCCCCTTCTGTGTTTTATCATTTCAACATGGTATGTTTAGTAAAAAGAAATATTACTATTATAGTACTGCGAGCACACTTTCACGCATTCGAAGTCACCTTGATGGTGCTGAGGTCCATAGGACACTTGATGATATCGTGATAGTCATGAAGTCCGAGTGCAGCTGCATCCACAGGTGTGTAGAAAGGCCATGCATACGCAGCATGTTTCTTTGATAACATGTCCTTCAGCAGCCCACTGCAGTACCTCAGCTGCGGGCTGAGTTTTCCCTTCCTTGAGGGCTGAGGTTGAACAGAATCGGGCAAGTCCTTCTTGGGGGGTTTGATGGGGCGTCCGCTGCCAACTCTGCGTCCAGTGCCAGCCATCATTGGCTGGAGCAGGACAGGGCCTCCAGGACTCCTGACGAGCCCAATCCCAGGTGGGGTCTCCAAGCTTATGCTTCCCATTGAGGAGACCGTGTGCATGGACGTGTCATGGATTTGACCCCCGTGTCCCCCTTTCCCCAAGCCCACCATGTGCGGCGTTCCTGACATGCCCACAGTAGTGAAGCCCATGGTAGAGGGTGTGGTGGTATCTGCTTTGCGTTTTACACCTTTCTTCTATAGAAAGAAAAAGTTGGAAATTGTTGTGATCACTTTATTATGGCTTTGTTACACGGTTTATAATCCTCACAACTGAAATACTAAATCTTTAACAAAGGACAGTTTACTTTCACATTTAGTGCTGTTAAAAAAGAACTTAAGTGTTTCAACATCGATTTTGCATGCTAAAATCTAGATATGCAAATTTTTCTAATCAGCATTCTGTCTTACATACCTTGGTTGTGGGCTGTGTAGGAGGCAAACCCATAATGTTAGCTGGTGGCAGGCTTTTAGTTAGCACAGTCTGGGGAGAGTTGGCCAGCATGGAATCCCCCGTGTCTGAGGATGAGGGGGAGTAGGCTGACTGGGACACTGCTGGCACCTGCTGAGCCCTTGATGCTGGTAGATAAAGAATATTAAATTTAAGAGTTGCAATTCAGCTACACAACAGCACCACCTCAATCATAAATGTTGCTTTCATAATGCCTTCCTGCTTGTAAATAAATACATCTTAACATCTTTAATTGCCAAAATATGGCTCAATCAAATTTGCATATCTAAGTAGAAGAACCGATAAGCAAGCAGACTAACGATTCTGAAGAATTCGACTACCAGGAACCAGTTCTTGGTAGAACCGGTTCTCGATTTCCATCCCTACTTACCAGAAGATTTACGACCTCTTCCCCTGCTGTTTTTGTTCCGAGGAGCTGGAGGAGGAAGTTCAACTTCCTCTTCGGGCATCTGGGCCACCTTCTGAAGAAAAATCTTCTCTAGGGATTGGGCCATCAGCACAATGTCATCTGTTGGCTAACCAGGGAGAAAAAAAAAAAAAAAAAAAAAAAAAAAAAGCAACACATGAGCACAAATAATATATAAGTACTATTTTTTGCATAAATGTCATTTCAGTTTAACAATAAAGGTTTTGTATTTTTTTTGTATATTTGTTAACAGACTGACAGGAACATTCATGCAATTTTAAAAACATCCCTTTTGATTGTTATGTGTAAATAGATCAAACAGATAATTACAGATTCTTGAAAAGAATTTCCTAAGATTAGTGCTTACATTTCATAAATAATAATATAAACTAAACCACTGTTTTCCCACATAAAGATGTTAACAATCACCATAGAAATCCCAGGCTAAGACACTTCATATGGTTATCTACGAGACAACTTAATGCAAAATGTAAGTTTGTATAATCATTGAAATGATCTGTTACACACAAGCCATTGCTTAATTTACATATCTAGGTTGAGTTGAATCTGCTTTGCAAAATTATTTACATGTAGCACATTTCTGCAGTCATTAGGCCTTTTGTCTTTCACTTTAAAATTTTCCCTTGCTTCCCTTAAGTTATGCTGAGGAGCACATGTAGTACATGTTCTCTTGCTATGAAGAATAGCAGAGAAATCACAGGGCATTTTGTGTAAAGTAAAGGGAAAGGGTGAAGGGTTTAAAAAAAAAAAAAAAATAGCCTCTAAAATTTCTGTGCCTCTGCTTGGATCATTAACAAAAATACACACAACTTTGGTCAAGTCATTTAAAAAAAACAAACAAAAAAAACAAACAAAAACAAACACCAAATCTTGCTAGATTTCCCCACTGGTTTGCTAGAAATCATTAAACACTGTACTTTAACACTTATTTTTTCCACTCTGAGCTGACAAAACACAGTTCTACGCCTGCTCAGTGTAAGATCACTGTGTTAATAAATGCAATCCAAAGGGAATGCTAGCTTGTGAGAAAGGAACAAATATCAATTAAAATGGAATAAATAACATGGATAAAAATGTGTTTTTTACCTTTTGACCTACCTTGTTGTAGATGTAGCAGTTGGTGAACATTGTGTTGAAGTCCTGTATGCACTCACATGCACTACGGTAGAAGTTATTTTCCAAGCGTTTCTTAATGGTCCCCATGTCCATGGGTTGTTTGATAATTTTATGGTAATCCTTGGGGAAAAAAATGCATTTTTTTTAAATTAATAACTTTTTAATTTATGGCTCTACAGAAATACCAATCCCACTTGTTTACTTGTTAAAGTGTGGACACCTTTTCCATAATGGTCCCAAGATGTTAAAAATAGGTTTTAAAAAAACCCCAAAAAACCTGAGATACAATCATCTATTAACAAACCAGAAAGGATCATTTATAATAGCCAAAAAATAATACAGAATATTGGATATTTATCTCAGCATCTGGAAGTAGACACATTCAAACTCCGAGTGGTTTATCAAAGCACTTGGATTCAACCCACCGGCAGGTTAAGCTTGTAGGCATCCACGGGCTCCTGAAAAGGCCAGGCAAAGTGGTGCCTCCAAAGAGACTTCATCAGGGTCTTCTGGAGGTACTGCAGCTGGTTTGTCATGCGGCCTGGTCGGGTAGGATCCTTCACTGGGGGCTGTGGAGGGGCAGGGGGACCCTGGGGCATTGTGTGGGGTAGGGAGGGGCTCTCAAAGTCCTCGTACAGCAGGGAGGGCTTACGAATGCGTTTTCCCGAGCTTGTGTGTTGGTCCATCATACCACCGGACAACCCAACCAGAGAGCTGGAGTGAGGAAGATGTAAAAGCACAGGAGAAGAATTAATGACAATGATTAAAAAAAATTAAAAAATTTAAAAAAGAGACCCTGCATCCACATTACAAGGAAAAGAAGGAAAGAAATGCTACCTTAATACCTCATGTGGAAAAAGCTGGCTGGCTGTAAATAAATTTTTAAGGTGGGAGAGGATAAAGAAGAAAAATATAAGACACCCCCCCCCCAGTGGTTATCTAGGAAACCAGGATTTCATCTATAGGTTGCAACTTTTAGCACTGCCATGGGAGCCATGACTGTCCTATAAGAATGCTGCTGATAAGGCAATAAAGTCAATGTCATGTAATATGCAATTCAGCAAGAAACATACAGGCAGTCTGGATAATCTTCAGAAGTTTGGGTTCAGTTTCTTTGATGATGATGTCTATGTTTTGACCGTTTCACTGTTGCACTTTATCAAGTTGTAACAGAGAAACTACTAAAAAGTATAAGAGTTGTACTTAGCTAGATAAATCTTATAAACAATAGCCTCAAAGTCAAACAACAGTGACACGCTAGATAAGTACTTATAAACATGATTATCTTTTCCAGATAAAATGTTTCCTCTGGTTTTCCCCACACACAAAGGAATAAATGGAGGATATGCCAATCAATGCCTTACACAAGCACTGTGGTCTCCCCTGGAGATGCACCATAATAAACAGGGCAGAGAACAAATTCCCCCATGGGCCTTAAGAGAGTTAATTAAAAAGAAAGCAATCTTTTTTGAGATATCAGCATCTCTGCAAGTTATGATCTCCAGTTTGGATGTAGTCCAACAACACCACGTTCCATAAAGAGCACTTTTCAATGCACCATGCGATGACAGAGGTCACCTAGTTCATGTAGTTAAAGGACACAGAAAGTCGGTCCTTTCTCACCTCCATCTGAGCACCACAGCTTAATACACACATGCCCTACTGACACACAAACAATGGCTAAGCCGATGAGCCGGTTTTCTACATCAAACAGAATACAAGCAGCACAAATAACTACTAAACAGCATTAAGGGTGCCGAAAAAAAGGAATTTGCAGAGTAGTAAACATAAGAACTTTTCTATTTCCAGGCAAATGTTTTAAGCTCTACTTACTTTAGTGTTTTGAAGCATTTAACAATTAAATGGAAAAAAAAACATCCAAATATACATCCAATAACACACACAGAGAACAAAAACATTCAGAATTGCTGTTTTACTGAAAGCATTTTAAAACTTAACGTGCTTTTCTCCAAATTAGTTCTGAACACAAGATTATGTGAAAGAAAATCTACCTAAAGTCGCAACATTTGTGCAAAAACACAAACACCGTTTAATTATCAACTTGGCTCCATGTGACTATTATGGCTTTAGTCTCTGTTTAGTAAAAACAGAAGCTGCATTTAACCAGCTTCTGTTTTTACTAAACAGAGACAAATTAGCGTAGGCTGAACAACCCGTCGTTATTATTTAGTCAAACTGATCAAAGACTCCTAGTCCACCAGCTGCTGATCGCGTGGTTGGACGCCCCGCCCTCGCTGTTTGTAAACACTTCTTCACAACGACAGAAGCCAATATCTGACGACCATAAGGGGTCCAAAAAGACACAAACGCCACATTTATTAAAGAGCACTGCTCGGAAAAGAATTTTTAAAAATTTTGATAAAACCCTCGGGCCATCAGGCAATTTCAGCCATTTTGCCACAGTCTCAGGGCGTTTGTTCACCAGCACAGAAGCTGCGAGCTGGAAGCTAAGCTTGCGAGCTAGCGGAGACAGACTGCAACAGCGCTTTATAAATATAACAATACACCTGGGACTGCCAAGCTGCAGTTAAGCAGAGGTTGTGTGTGGGGGGAAAGGGGAACAGTGGACGTGTTATTTATAACTAGTTTTCTTATATGATATTGTTTTACATTAGCGACAGCAGGTTGCATGAGCAATGAATGACACGACAGACAGACAGCCGGCGGGGAGCACCAGGCTGACCTAGCCGATGGAGATGCAGCTGTCATTTGCCTGCTAATTAGAAGCTAAACGCTAAAGAAAACGGAAATATAGGCTCCACAAAACCAGTGTGCAAATATTAAGATTCAGAGGACTTCAGAAATATGTGCAGAGTTGAGTCTCCTGTGTAAGCTAGCGTAAGCGGGCTGTATCATAAGACTGGCTGACGAGGTAGCGCTGTTTTGCTACTCGGAGGCTAACGGTAACGTCACCGTAGCAACAATGTGGTTTTTATTACATAATTCCCATCCTCACGCGGACTACAAAGCCCAGCAAATGTCCTCAGTTTGACCCGAAACACTGCGGACATTACCTGTCGTGAGGTGGGTTGACGGCGGCTTCCATTGGGGTGAGGGCGGAGTGTTGTTACGATCCAATTTTTCGCCGCTGTTGACGCTGCACTTCCACAAAACGCTCAGCGACCAACTCCGCAATGAAATGGCGACTAAGCGCTTCCGCTTGACCCTATATAAACCCCTCTCGTGGCAGTGCCGCGTCGTTCCTGTCACGTGGACGATGATTCCGCGCCATAATTGGCTGTAAGCAGGTGTCAGTCAAACAGCACAGTCTGTACATCTTGTACTCTGAAAATATTGCATGTTTCAGATTTTTTATACAGTAATGAGCTATCTGGCGTCGCACTGCGTTAATAATTGCTGTAATTTTCAGGCTAACGCTTCTCTGTCTATATGGATTAGTATGTTTTGTCCTCAAGAGAGTTTGGATTGTCATGCAGGTGATCTCCGTTTTATTAAACCCACTGCGGAATACCTGGGTAGCAACTGTATTTTTTTATTTTTTTATTTTTTTTTGGTGAGATGTTTCCATTTAAAGCGGCACATTCATGAAATAACCCCCTTAGCTGCTTTGTGATTGATGCCCTCAAAAAAATGGACATCTTTTTTTCCAACTCCGTGACTAACCGCTTTAAAGAAGCTATGTTTAACAGTATCCTGCAGTCTAGATAGATAGAAAGACAGATACATGTGCAGTTTCCCAAAAAATAAAAATAAAATAAGAGGAGACTGGGATTGTTGACAAGCAGTGGCAACGGGTTTCACTCGTCACTGCTGCACCATAGAGCACATTCTCCAACAGACTGATTCAATGCCACAAGGACAGATACAATAAATCTTTTATGCAACACATCTGTATAGCGATGCATCATCTGTGCTTCAACAGTTTATTTCTACCCTGTACTGTGCGCACGACTTTCATTACAATGTACACTGACTGTAAAGTTTTTACGTAAACGTATTCATTAGTAAGCATTTTAAATTAAGTTTTATTTTTGCTGTGTTAAATAGATATTTAATATATATTTTAAATGGAGATATTTTTCTTTAACATATTGTTATTATTACGTAATATTACTTACATATTTGGGTTCATATTTGTTTTGCCATGTTGCATATAAGCCAAAATAATGGCATTTATATTCTATAATATTTAAGCTATTTTGCCATTTTTGTTGTCTCGAGCTAAATTTTCAAAACTTTTGTAGTAAAAAGGATAGACTGTTTACCTTTCCCTAACCTGGAGAGTTTTAACATATGCAGGATTGTGTTAATTGTAACTGGATGGACTTGGTTTGCAGTATGTTAACCATTAAAATTCGCATAGCATCATTACAAAGCTATGATTTGTTCATCTGACTAATAGTTGGTGAAACAAAGCTGTTTTTAAACCTTATTGCTCTGCACTCTCACGCCAGAAACCTCCATAAAGAAAGTAAACGTCGTTATGCAAAGGGTGCAAAACAAACCAGCTATCAGCTGTAAATGTCTTGTACACAGCACAGGGATGCTGAGTTCAGCTGTGAATCACCGATCAGCTGTTAGACCGTTTAACAATTTGATCACTTCGGTATTTATTGAAACAACTTGAAAATAGCATTGTTTCATCAGCTGTATTTTGTCCTACAATCGAAGCCTTTTATATAAAATCAGTCCAAATTTACCTACAAGTTAACCTTACTGTGTCTAGCTGCTTGAAGTTCTGTTCAGTTGAATGATATGGTGGAAACCTACACTTTATTTTATCCTGTACTTGTTAATGTTACACAGTGTAGTATGCTGTGATGGCTAAAACACAAAACAAGGGTAGATATTTGATGGAAATTCTAATTTGGACTCACTTTGCACTGTTGAAGTGAAATGTGGCATGATGCATTCCTTCACAGTCACACACACAGGCTGTATACCCCTGGATTTATTGTATTTTTTCATAATGAGCTGTTCATAGCAAGCTGGTGATAAACAAAAGTATCAAATTAACCGGATCTGTTGCTGGACTTGAAGTTTTCATCTTAAAATGGCCAGGTGATTTTCACCCCTGTTGCCTTAAAGAAGAAGACCACCCTCATATATTTTCCTATTAAAAACAAAGAGAGTCCTGCTGATTAAAACACAAGTTGCTGTTCAGGTTCACCACAGTGAGATAAAAATCTAAAAAAAAACAACCCAATAACTACAGTACTGTGCAAAAGTCTCAGGTCACAACTCATTTCTTCTTTGCTTCCAAGGAGTCAGACATTCTTTAAATTTTTCTAAAGTGGCCTTAAGCAATAGTTCTTCAGGCTTTCTGGTGGAGTTTCAAAGTTTTCTTTGGACACTGGCTGCTTTTTCAGTCCAGACCTAGTACCTGATCATTTTCAGAGGAATATTTTCTTGTTTCTTTGTAAAGCCACTTAGTACTGATCATGGAATCTAAACAACTCTCATATGTTTGAAGTTTTTCAGTCCGGCTTTAGGCCGTTTCATAGCACAGAGACAGCTCTCATAAAGGTTATGAACGATATCCTGGTAGCGACGGACTGTGGTAAACACGTAGTGCTTATACTACTAGATATGACTGCTGCATTTGACACAGTGGATCACGACCTGCTGATCTCTCGTTTACAGCATTGTGTGGGCATTTCTGGCTTTGCACTCCTGTGGATAAAATCATATCTCTCAAACAGGAGCTTCTGTGTTAAGTTGGGCTCGTCATCGTCCTCTGTGGCCCCTCTGCCATGGGGTGTACCACAGGGATCTATTCTTGGGCCATTACTGTTTTCATTGTATCTCCTGCCACTGGGTGCGATCTTTTGTAAACATAAAGTTTCATTTCATCTATATGCTGATGATTGCCAGCTTTATTTTCCTTTCAGTCATTCTGATAGCTCCCAAATTAGACTCCTGCTTGATTGCCTTAGTGATGTTAAGTCATGGATGGCTCAAAACTTTTTAAATTTTAACGAACGTAAAACGGAAGTAATTCTGTTTGGCCCGAATTGTTCCTCTGATATCCCTGATGTTGACCTTGCTGCTCTGACCCCTCACCTGAAGAGCTCGATTACCAATCTTGGGTTAAAAATCGACTCTGCACTTACCTTTGATGGCCACGTGAATGGGGTGGTGAAATCGTCATTCTATCAACTCAGGCGTCTGTTGAAGGTTAAACCTTTTCTTTCAAGGCGTGACTTGGAGACTATTATCCACGCTTTTATAACCTCACGCTTGGATTATTGTAACTCCCTTTTAATAGGGGTTGGACTGGGCACTCTGACACGCCTGCAACTAGTACAGAATGCTGTGGCACGGTTTTTATCTGGTAAAAGGAAATTTGAGCACATTACTCGGGTTCTGGCCTCCCTGCACTGGCTTCCAATTGAATTTAGGATTCATTTTAAAGTTCTTTTATTGGTTTTTAAATCTTTAAATGGTCTGACACCTGCGTATCTGTCTGATTTGCTGAAGCCCTATGTCCCCACTCATTCGCTCCGGTCAGCTGAGCAGCTGTTGCTCTCAGTCCCCAAATCAGGGCTGAAACTGAGAGGAGACCGAGCGTTCTCTATTGTGGCTCCTAAGCTTTGGAATAATCTTCCTCTTCACATTAGGCAATCGACATCAGTGATGGTTTTTAAATCCAGATTGAAAACGCATTTTTATTCAATGGCTTTTGACTCAGTGGTTGACTGACTTGTATTTTATTGTTTTCGCTAGTTTATTATTTTATCGTATTTATTATTCTTATGGTATCTATTATGTTTCTGTTGTTCAGCACTTTGGTCACCCTTGTGTGTTTTTAAAGTGCTATATAAATAAACGATGATGATGATAATGATGATGGAATCATTAGCATAAAAGATGTACCTAAGGCATGAGCCAGTGCTTTAGCTACACATAACAACTTAGTTTGGCCATGCAACAGGCTGGCAACCTGTCCAGCATGTACCCAACCTGTTGTCCTATGGAAGCCGAGGACATCTGACTTCTGAAATTCAAATGAAGACAGTGAATGTCACACCATAAAAATTCATCTTAATGTGGCATGGCTGATCAGCAGACAGTTGAATAAATAAAAGTTTGCCTGGTCTCCAAGTAACTAAAAAAGTGCAAAAAGTGTTAAATCATCCCTAAGTCTATTCCACTTGATGAAATTGGCTCTCATGTAGGTCAAACCAAAAAAAGAAAAACTAGAAATTCCCAGTTACAGAGAAGTTCCATTTGCTTTACCATCCTCGCCCATTAACAGCGCCTCAGATTAGAGCCCACATCAAAGCCTCCAGAAGTTCAAATAGCAGACACATTTCATCAGCTGTTGGAGGGAGACTGAGTGAATCAGGCCTTGAAGGTGGAGCCAGTACTGAAGGAGACCAGTATGAAGAAGAAAACTGCTTTAGCCTGAAAAAACATGACTTGACAACTGACCCATGTGAATCCAGACTTCAGCCTCATGAGTTTAACTGTGCTATTTTTGGTACCAGACACATTATCTTTGTAAAATAAAGGAAAAGAGATTGGATTTCCATGTGTGGCCCTCACTGTGAGGCACAGGGGACATTAAGACCACAGTCACGACTTAAATCCAGTTGAGTTAATTTGGGAATAGTTGAAAAGCAGCCAACAAGTTGTGCTCGGCTTATGAGGGAACTTCTACAAGAGTGTTAAGAATGCTGTATACAGAAAGAGTATGTAAAGCTGTTAACAAAGCAAGAGGTGGCAACTTTGAGGAATTTAAAATGCAAAACCTACTTTTGCTTTATTAACACTTACTTGAATCCACATGTTATTTAACAGTAATAATTTATTGTGACGTTTTACCATACAACAAAAGCGGAAAGCATAAGCACCCAGAACCTTCCGCAACAACTTAACGCTATTACAAAGAAAACATCTTTATGAGAATTTTTTTTTTTTACATTAATAAATCACACGCACCACAGAACAGCTCTGTTTAAAAGATTTACTAATGAAAAGTTGAATATTAAAAACAATGGAGCAAGTCATGATTTGTGTAAATATTTTTCGGTGGAAGCAAACAAGTTTGAACATTGAGTCGTAAAGAATCATCCATAAAGGGAAAAGTACAGAAAAATAAACAAACACACATAAACCCATCCAGAACATTTAGAAACACAGTTTTAAATAGTGCAATATAAAGTAAAGTGAATCTAGCTGCTTGATCTCTACATCTACAGTGTATGAAGCAAAGTGTATGAAGCAAAAGAGTGGGTGACCATGAGCTCTCTCAATCACACCCAAAGGGATATAAAAGCTCACCAGAGGGATGTGGGTTTGGGTGATGTGACAATAATAAAGAAACATTAATCTACCCACTACCACTGATTTTGCTAAACTGCTTATGGTACTGTGCCTTTTCTTTTAAAACTGTATGTCTGGATGTATCACAGCATTGGAGGGAAAGCTGCAAATCAATCATGGCTTGAAGGTTTATAATACAGATTTTTTTTGTTTGAAAATTTGATGTTTTTTTTTTAACCAAAAACTAGACATTATTGTTTATAGTTGCTTTACTCATTTAGATTTCTTGATTGAAAATGCATTATTTTATTATGACGGAGGATTTTTATCTGGACCGGTCTGCTGGTTGCATCTTTGGGACACGATGCAACTCTCAGGGACTGCTGAGTAGGTAGATAACAGCTTCAAGGACTTTAAGGTGCAACAGTCTTACTGGGTAAACTCCAGCAAACCTTTGTAATACAAGGGGTGGTCTCACTGCAAAAAAAATATTTACAATATAAATGTAGCCTGAGTTTTGCATCTTTTAGGCCTGGTTTAGACTTCTGCGGGGAATCTTTGTAGAGCCCACACATAACCTGCTTAAGTGGGTTAAACGTCATTGCCGGCATTTATGCCTTTGCTGGTGCATTATGTGTTAATTACTGTGTGGTCAAGTCCTGATGTTTCATATGTGGTGCCAGCTGATAGATATAAAATGTAATTTGGGGACTTTTTTCTCTTCTGGGTCGCTGCTATTTGTAGTGGTCAGTTTTTTTTCGCAGTCAGACATATTTGTCCTTCCCGTTTTTCACTTCTTTGTACTCATTCTCTCATGTCTATTCTGACAGTTTCAGCACTCCAGGAGTTTGCTGACATTTGTGAATCCTTACATTGATGCTATGATTATTATTCCTTATACTGAAGTGACCACTGTTATTCTTTCACTCGTAACTTTAAAAACTGCTGCGAAAAACTAGCACTCAAAATATACAGGAGGAATCGATGATGCTGAACAAGCCAATCACAGTAACTTCGGGTTGCATCCACCCAATGTGTAGTTACATTTCACTGGAGGTGCATGTCGGGTTAGGTTGCAGGGTTAGCAGGGGTTTATGGCTACATCACAGGTTAAGGTGTAGATTTCCCGCTGAAGCATAAATCAGATCTAAGTCTTAAAACCAGCAAGTCTGTTCCTGGAGTGCTGCTCACACTTCTCACTGCATCTCAATTCAATTCTTCCTCATTTCGGAAACAGCTCTTATTTTGCTTTTCCACCAGGCCAGCATAAAGGCCTTTGTTATTCATCAGCTCCTCGTGGTTGCCCTCTTCCTTCACCATCCCTCTATCGATGACAATTATGTGACTGGCCTTCTCAACAACACTCATCTTGTTGGATATCAACAGCACGGAGCAGTCTTTTGCTTGATCCGTCAACGCCTGGTGGACCTGTAGAGCACAATTATTATGGTTTTAAAGGAAAAACAGTTTTAAGAAATATGCAAAATCACTAAAGATGAAGAATTTCCTACTTGATATTCGTTCTCTGTGTCCAAATCACTTGTGGCATTGTCCAGAATCAGGACTTTAGGACGTCTGATTAAAGCTCGAGCAATAGCAATACGCTGCTTTTGGCCTCCAGACACCTGGCCACCCTTCTCCCCGGCATCTATGAAACAGAGGGATGTACCAACAAACTTTTGCTTAGGTAGGGCCTTAGAAAATATGAAATGTTGTGGTGCCGTTAAACGCTGAGATTCTGGGTCGAACCTGTGTCATATTTATTCGGCAGTTCCATGATGAATTTGTGGGCGCTGGCCAGATTTGCAGCCCTATGCATTTCCTCATCAGAGGCATGCTCGTAGCCATATTTGATGTTCTCTCGAACAGAGCGAGCAAACAGCACACATTCCTGGCTCACCACAGCAATCTGTGAGCAAACAGAACGAAGACAGGATATTAGTGACTGTGTAATAGTCACAGCAGACTCTAAGCAGGGCCTTCAAAGAAATCAGCTGCAGATTAAAGCTAAGAAAAAGCACAAATAAGTATCCTTATAACAAGATAAGACAGATGACAAAGGAGTGAATTTAAACAGGAATTTGGAGGAAAAACGTTTAGTAATCTGTGAAAATGCTTCCCTGTCATCATTAGCTGAAGCTCAGGGGCTAATTTCATTCCATTTCCATTTTATACAGAATTCACAGGATTTATTTAGTATCTTTAACTTCAGTTTAGGAGTTAAATTTGTGGCATGAGGACTTGATAAACCCCTAGGTGCGAATAGCCACAGAGGTTGATGTTGATGATGTCTTTGTTCCCAGCTGAAGTTTACTGTTAGCTAAAACTAAACTAAAACTAGGTGTAGAAAATACTTAGCTGAAATTAAAAAAATAAATAAAATACACTTATATAAAAAGGAAAGAACTGAAATAATTTTAGACACTTGAAAAAAAAGGAAAATATACAGGAAATGTATTTTGTTTTAGCCTTTGGTCAAACTTGTCCTAACAGTGAGTCTGATGAGGGTTTGATGCATACAGTTACTGGGACGGTTGGTGTCCCTGTGACTGCGAGTCAGTTACTTTCATAATAACAAAAACCTAGCAATGAAACTGGTCAATTTTAATTGTAATTATATTTATATTAAAAATCCACTCTGGGAACTAAGGGTCAGATATACTAAACTGGGCAAAATAGCGTGTGAACGCAGTCCCCAAATAGTAAAACAGTATTCGTAGGAGTAGTTACTTTTTCTGAGCGATGTACAAAAGTTGTGTTGTTTTCTAAATTTGGATGCAGTCAGTTCATTTAAATATCAAGCACAAAAAAAGATAACTTTACGTGCTTGATTAAAAAGATTTTCTCCCTATGTTTTGCTCCTTCAGTAGGGGACTCCCAGAAAGACATACAGAACAGGGTCAGTCACAAACTCAGTTCTTACCTCTTACTCGCAGTCGCTTTGTAAATACCAACAGCACTTTATTTTAAACCAATTGGCACAAAGTATTAGTAAATCTGGCTTTAAATGAGATTAAACTAAATTGAAAAAAATAACATGAAGAGAAATACTAGTTAGAAAATGCAAAACAATAATACCTCTGCATTTATTTCTTCTAAAAAAGATATAGTAAAATTTGATCCCAGTAAAAAACATAAAAAAAAATAATATACAGAAACATATGGCCCTGAAAACTATCCTCAGTGGGTCCCAACAGGCTAAAAGTGTTTACTGTTGTTTTTCCACTGTGATCAGGTCTTTTAAAGCTAAAATATGATGTTATTGACCTTTCATCTTTTTAAAGAAGAAATGTTTAGGCATTAAATCGATCTTCTGAAAATACTGCATGCAGAACTTGCATCACACTTAATAATTTTAGAGCAACAGCTTAACAGCTTATAATTTAGTTTTATAAGCAGTTTTTCCCCCAGTGGCCAAAAAAAGACCCCACTTAATGCAGCTTTAAAGGTGCATTCGGGAATTTTCTTGTAAACAAACCAAAGAAATGTTTGCGTTGAGTGTTTCCCATGGCACCGTTAAGCACAAAGATTATAAATAAAAACACAAATGGAATTAAATATCTGATATTCACAAACCTTGTCATGTAGGTACTGGTCTTTGTAGCTTTTCAGTGGTTTGCCATCCAGGAGAATCTCCCCTCCTATAGGCTGGTAAAACCTCTCCAGCAGCTTCACGCAGGTGGACTTCCCTGATCTATTAAGACCCACGAGGGCAGTGATTTGGCCTGGCTTTACCTCCAGAGATATATTCTGGTGAAAGAGGTATATTTTAAGGAATGCTTTAACTTGAAGTAAAACATGCACAGGACAAATTAGTACATACCTTAAGGACGAGATTTTCTTCATTTAATTTTCCATTATATGAAAATGTAACATTTTTGAATTGAATGTGTCCCTGAAGATTTTCAGGGGCCAAAGTACCATCTGGGGGTACTTGAGGTTTTCTATCCAAATATTCAAAGATCTTCTCAGAGGCTCCAATTGCTTTCTTCACTTGTGGGTAATATCGCATGACAGCCTGAAAGAGAAGTAGTCATGAATAAGAGGAAAAAGTGAGCATCCATTTATGCTTCTTCTTGGTCGATGGCTCACCTCAACAGCAGAGGCAAACTGCAGCTCATAAAGGACAAACGACACAAGATCTCCACTGCTGACGGCCCCCCTGGTCACAAGTGTGCCCCCGTAGTACAGAATGCATACCTTCAAAGCTAGGGTAGTCATCTGGAGAAACAAGAACAACAGCTTACAGAGTGATCAACTGTAAAATGAGTTACATTAAGTATTAATGAGTAATTGACCGTGATGCTGAAGTCTACATTTACAGTGTACCACCTTGGTGTACCCTCTTTTAGATTTATTGAAATTTGCTTTGTGTGATTTAAAGTTAGAGCCCTTTATGCACTTCACTTTGAAACAAGAGAATATAATAAGCACCAAAGATTGCAGCTGGACAAATGTTTGGTATCTGCTACACTCCTTAACTGCTTATTGTGTGATATAATGATGGGTTTGGCCTCTTAATAACAAGGCCTATATATATTCATAGGTGCGAGAAATGCACTGCTTAACATCCTCTGTCAACAAAGACACCACCAGAGGTCTGAACTTACAGCACAACAGCAGGAGCAGGAGTAGGCAGGTTAAAGGTCAGATCTGATTGCATTTATGTTTTCGCATGCACCGAAAAGCACAATAGATCCTCTTTGAAATTTATAATCAGATTTCACCTTGTGTATTTATCTCAGTTACAATTTCTAGCTATAAAAACAACAAATAAAAGGTGTTTAAATGTCTTGTTAGCTGCCTTTAGACACTCCCACTGCCACATATTCACACAAGTCAGGCTAAACAAAAACTGCAAATACTCTGTAGCATAGATCAGTGTTCAACTCACACTGTTAGCCCAGGTAGAAGCCGCATAGGCAGCTGCCTCCTTTTTATTAAGGGCGTAAGTGTCCTCCAGGCGCAGTCTGTACTTCTCTGTCTCACCGTCCTCATTGGCAAAACTCCTCACTGTCTTCATGTTTGAGAAGGTCTCTGTGGCCACCTGGTTAGCCTTTGCCAGTGACTCTTGAACTTGCACAGCAATAGTCTGAAATATAATGAAAAATTAAACTACACAGTTTGATTCAGTAAAACAAGACATATTTTATTGATTTGTCACTATTGTAACTGATCAGAGGAGATTTGATCAACAAGTAATTAAAGCTAAATTTTTCACATCACCTGGTGGAAGCGTCCGGTGAGCTTGGGTATGACCCAGATGATGGGCAGCCCCATGCATGTGAGCAGCGTCATTTTCCATGACTGGCTCACCATGTAGAACAAGAGGAAGCCGAAACGAGCCGTGTACCACATCAGAAGACTCAGCTCCTCGCTCAGAGCTTCACTCACGCTGTTGGTATCAGTGGTAATCCGTGACACCAGTTCACCTAACAGTACAGCATGAGTCTTCTTAAAGGGATCGCATTTTAAGTGTATATATACTTCTTTTTTCTGGATTATTTGTAACAAGTTCACAAAACTTTTTAAGAGGAAACTGAGATTGGCTTTTAGGGTTTTAGTTATTAATTAATGAAACATTAATCTTGTATACAGTTTGTACATAATTTACCTGTTGAAGTGGCATCAAAGAAAGCGATCTCCTGTTTCAGCACGGCCTGGAAGACGACTCCCTGCACCGAGGTGTGTATGCGGCTCATGGTGATATTGTACGTGAGGTCACATATAAACTCGAGCACAGCACTGAGACATAAAGCAGAGGAAGAGTTACACTAAAAGTACATAAAATATTATTACAGCCATATCTTTAAGCTTTTGTTAAGCTTCTGTTGTACACATATCCTCAGAAGTGACTGAAACTACACTACATGGGTTGGAGCAGGAGCTCGGGTGTAAAAAGCATCCTAGGTTAACGCTGACCATCCTCACAACACTCTTTCAGTTCATTTCTGAGTATTAAAAAAAATCCCTGAAATTTTTAGCAAACAGATCACATGTTTTTTATTTATTCTAATTAAATTGTTCTGCGTTAGTAAACGGAGAGAACCTTTTAAAAACCAACTTTAATAACCAAAGAAGACAAAGGTTGTATTACCTGGCAATGGTCATTAGTGTCATGATTGTAATGGCCTCTGTGAAGGCGTCAGGTGCTTCTTCATTCATGATCCAGTCAGCCATGCGGCCAGTGTACTGAGGAATAGCCATCTCACCTGAAAGCAGGTGTTAACATTATCACCATACTGATCTTTGGCAAAGCCCAACTGCCAGGTTAACTTTTACATTCAGCAGCGTCAGTGGACTGTGATTACATTTCAATTACAATTACAATTGCCTACAATTACAGTTTCATGTTGCTGGCATTATTACAGATATGCAGCTAGTGCTGCAGAAAACAAGACCTTTTTTCCTATACTTAAATTAACAGCATGAGGACAATGACACGAACACAATGATAACTACAGGATATAATTTCAAAACACTGTAGTGGCAAGAAGGACATGCATGCTTTAATTTAAACGAAAAGAGGCGTATTACGCTTTAGGCTCCAGATTTGTATTCTTGGACTCCACACATGATTCAAAGTTCACAATAATCCTTATTTATCTTATACTGGGCCTTAATGCAACCCTCTAGGTAATTCACTGTCTGGAACGGGCACATTTATCACCCTTCTCCCTCTCTTTAAAAAACTATCTGAAACCGAGTCTGAAGCATGACATTCTGCATACAGGGTTTACTTTCACGTATGCTAACCTCATTATTTGCCACTCTGATGATGTTTAATATGAGAATACACAATTGTAATACTATAAATACGATGGAATGAAAGAAGCGCAACAGACCCCACTTCAAAGGTGTTATTTCACATACCATAAGACGAGAGAAAGACAAGTATCAGCACAGCAACAAAGCGCCAGAAAAAGGGCTGCATGTATCCCATCAGTCTCTTCAGAGAGGCCCCAGTCTCCTCTTTTGGCTTCTGAGATGGTGTCCTCTTAATAAAAGATGAAATGTACTGGCCCCAGGAGATCAAAAGAGATGACACATACCGACTCCAGTAGAGCCAGGCCACTAGTGTCACGATATAACCCTGTAACACCTGCAGGACAAAGGACAGGTTTAATATAACCATTACACGTGTGTTTAGTTAGCTTAGATGAAATAAATTGGTTTTGGTCTCAGATCTTGTTCCAGGCTGAGTATGTTTTATGCATTATTTTTATTTTCTGCTCAAAAAAAGTTCAATTACACTGGAAACTGTTCAATTATCTGAGAGATCTACTACTAGAAATCTAATAAACACATATAGAGAAAAAAATTATTCACTTTTTCATTATATTAATGTGTAAATGTGTGTTTTGTCTGCTGATCAGACTTAAGACATGAAAGCAACAATTTATGCATCCCATCCATGCTGGCAGCAATCACAAAGTTGTTAAGTGGTTTCTGTCATGAAACAAAAGAAGAAGAACTGAAGACCTCCAGGGTGGCAATAACAGTGGTAAAGGAGGTGGCCACAAATAGCAGTAACACAGTTTAAAAAGATTCCAAGTAAAAATAGCATAAAAAATGTAGATTATAGATACATTAACAAATACTTGTATTCATACTTCTTATTTCAGCTAAATGCTCCTGATATTTTCATTATCTAATATATTTGACTGTTCTTACTGATACTGCAGTTTTAACTGGCACTTTTACAACTTTCTGCTGCAGGAGAAGTTACTGATATAGAACAATAAACTTCAACTCTTATCATAAGATTTGTGTGATGCATTTTACACTTCAAAGTAGCTGGTAAGAATCCTGCAGTTCACAGATAGCTATTGCACGTAAAGAAAAGCACATTTCTTATTGAGATATGTCCCCTCAAAGTGCATTAGGTAATGAATTCATATTTTCCTTCTTGCTGCTCACCAAGGTTGCACATATTGTAGCATGGTAGGCAACAAAACACATACACTCACCCTCTCCCAAGAGTGCCACCCCCACAGTTCCTCCATGGTGGACTGCCCCAGCACCCAGAGAAGAGTAGCGTACACTGGGAAGTGGAAGCAAAGGACCCCTAAGCTCTGGATCCCCTCGAAGCTTTTAGTCCATGGTAGGCTTCCAGGGTAGGTGAAGGCCAGGAAGGCAAGGAGGGAGGCTCTGGTCAGGGCTCCTACCCATAGGGTGATGAATGGATGAGAGAGTAGGAGAGGCGAGAGTTGGGCCAGGCGGATGGTGTGCACCACACACACATCCAGGCACACGCAAAGCACCGGGAAAAAGTAGCTCATCTTCTGCATTACGCACACACTCTGCAAAAACAAATGACAGAGACAGCTGAGTATTAATATCAGCAAAATATGCAAACATGCAAAAACATAAAATAAGAATGATCTATGTGTCACCAGTGGGCAAACTTTTTTTAAAGCAACTTTTTCAGCTTATACTCATATATTAACGCTATAACGCACCATGCACTAGTCTTTGTACACTAGAGTATTTCCTTTTCCCCCTGGAAGAGTGACATTACGTCTATAAGTGTTGGGTGGATGGGACTGACGGATCAAACATGATCAAACATCAAACACCAGGCCTACATTTTGAATGCCCTTTAAGGACAATGGTCCCTATTTACTTTCACTTTGCTGCCGATTGCATTTACTTTCATTTTCTGCTGCCCTGATGATTTCTTTGAAATGGCTCCGTGAATAAACCAAACATCACACACAAACACAAACAATTATGGCAAATGTTGACACCTACTATCATAAACAGCATTGATAGCGTATACTACATGAGTTTACAGGGGATAGCAACTGTTATAATTACCCTTAAATCCAACCTACTTACTCGGTTTCCTTGACACGACCTATTTGCTTCGACGAACGTCCCAAACCTTTGAAAAACTCGAATATAACCTCAGACCAAGTAAATAACGTTAATTTAATATCTACAAACCGGCAGCCTGTTCAGTCACGAACCGACAACCACTGACTGGCAAAACTGAAACCGAAACTAACTATTTATAGAGCTTTTGGAATGGAAAGTCCCACATACGTCCTCCTACCGAAGACCAACGACAAACAAAACTTACCTTTATTTAAACCGTGACGTTTTTATTTCAACATTACTACTCAGAAAACTTGTTTTTGAAGAATAACTTCAGTGTGTGGAGTGCCTGCTGCCACCAACACTGCAAAGTTGATAGGATGTGCCTGATATGAAAATCAGTCCAACAGCGACCCCATGTGGCGAGGAGGTACAATTGCATGAGCTTTTTACTCGTTTTAAATGAACAACAGCTAGAATCACAGTAATTACATAAATCGCTTGGATATATATCTTTATACTTTCATATATTTCTTCATTCATTCATTCATTCATGCATTCTGGTCCCAGAAGCAATAGTAGACTAAATAGCTATGTATATTGTTTTGTGATGTAGTTTTGATATATATTGTTTAATTATCTTTACTGGTTTACATTGAGTGTAAACCCATCCAATAATAGCCACATGAACCTCCTCTGAGGTATTCCTCTTTTCATCCTGCCTTGCGGCTGCTTATTTGTTGCCTGATTTGCCTGCCTGACGGTCACATGTTGTCTCTTGCCTGGTCTTGGACACTGAAACCCCCAACAGAAACTTTGAACTCCCTGACAGTTTCCTTCCTTTCCCTTCTTTCCGGTTTGATGGCTGGAAAAAGCAACGCTAAAAGTGTTCCTACTATTTTAGGAACCCTCTTTGTAAACCCCTGTAAACCACAAAGCATGTGTTTGCTTTGCTGTTTATTTTGAAAAAAATAAAAAGCAATAAAATACATCTTTGGTCAATTTCTTACACTTCAGCACTTAAAAAACGACAGATTTATAGTCCTTTATTGCATTAAAAAACTTTTAGTTTAAAAGTTTTAAGTTTAAAATGTAGAATTCTAAACTAATTCAAACTGGATTCAGCCAATACAATATCCCTTTTTGTGTTTTCACTGTATTCTAGTTTCTATGTCGGGAAATATTTTCGAAATTTCTACTGCAGCAGCACTTTTGGGATAATGATTTCTTTAAAATGTATGCAGCATGTTTATACTGCAGTTCACTGAGGTTAACTTTGGAGAAAATGAAGCGTTTTTAGTACCTAGTAATCATAACTGTTAATTAAATCCACAGTAATCTGTTCAAAAGTAGAATGCTTTACTAAATGAAAAAAATCAAGGAAAGTCCATCCATTCACTTTCTTCTGCTTATCCAGTTTAGGGTTGTGAACATGTAAAGTCCCTGCAGGAAAGCTCCAGCCTTGTGATGGATTTGAACAAAGGGTTTTCTTGCTGTGAGGCAATGGTGCAAACCACAGTTGGTAAATAAAATAGGCTACTATGGTAAATATTGAACTGAGAGCAGCCACTGAATAATTCTAATTTGAACCCTTATGTTGACCCATTAGACCTATTATTATGGAGAATTATGCTCTTACACTCTCTTTTTTTCAGTATATAAAAGCATATTTACATGTTGTTAGACATGGCACATTGTTGTCATTGTTCTTCTAGTGCAAACTAAAGCAATTAATCTCTTTGTAACCGCAGAATTGAATGATATAAATAATCCTTGCATAGATGGCCTGCATCAGAATACTGTCAGAAGACTTTATGGGATTTGCAACAATAATATTCATTTTTGTTTCCCTTTGGCTGAAATTAAGGCGTAACTTTACACATATGTGATTCATACATTTGTGAAACTGAGCTCCCATCTCTGTTATAAACTGTCACACCAAAGTCACTTGTATATGTACCCTGGAAAGCCTGGATGCGCATGCTCAGACATGGCAGCTGCCTGTGAGAAGCCCCTCAGAGCATACAGTTATGAACATTTAGCCAAATAAAAGTCGAGTTAACTGATTTGACTGCTGCGGAGTTTCGCTGCCAGAGCCGCGATGGAGTAAACAGTTGGCAGCGGGGACATTTGTGAGCTGGTCTGGATGGAAGCGACGGGTTTACGAGACGTTTTCAAATGTATAACGCTGTGTAAGCAAACACGAACGCCAGAAATGTGTCGTTTTAAAGGTTTCAGCCTGCATGAAGGGTGAGAGCTTAGCCAGATATACCGCGTTAGGAGCAGCTTCTCGATCTGCAGTTTTTCCGTGACTCTCAGGCCCAGCAACGCCTACTTCTACGTAAGCTAAAACATCTGGATTTGGCCACATGGGTTTGTTGTGCACAGTAAACAGCTGCGCTGACGGGGTTTCAGGCTGATTTTAGTGATGACCTAAGAGGGGAAAGAAAGATAGCTGGAGAAAATGCGATTTTAAAATCAATCGTAAAATACAATAATAATTCTTTTCTTTTTCATGTTTTAGCTATTGCAGCAATGGAGGATATTGGTCTTCTTCCCAAACCCACCCCCGAAACCCCAGTCCACAGACCCACAGTCCCTGAGACTTTTGGGCACCATCACATCCCACCAGGTGGGTATATGAGCTCATGCAATGTTTAATGAAATGTGAAAAATATCAGGTATTCACCTGTCCTAACAAGCAGAGGCAGACTTAAACAATTCACAAATTGTAACATAATCCCAGGCCACTCTGGTCACTTCAAATAAGAAGTATAGGTTTAGTAGTATATTTTTGTTTAGCAAGGATGTTACATTTCAAATGTGAGTGCTGGGAAGTGAAAAGGGTTTGTATGCCAAGTATGCCAAAGCCATACAAAGAGAAGAATTATCTTTAGTACACAGTTTGTGTTACCAACATGATATCAATATTTCATATTCAAATATTCCTGTGGGGCACGAGTGACTATTTACCAGTCACAGAACACACAAATATACAAGGTAAGGCACAAAAAAAAAACGTGTTTGCATGTTTTACACTTTTAAATGATTATTTTTATTCATTTAAGGGTCAATGTCAGTGTCTATTTGATTACAGTTGATTAGTAGCTTCTGAGTATCTGGGGTTTCACTTCTTTGTTTCTCATTTTTGTTAATATTCTTTTTTTAGGGTAATTTCTGTATAGTCTTGTGTTTTTAACCTTTATTGATTCATCCCTCCAGCTACCTGTTCCTTGTCTTTGTAGCCCTTGTATTTACTGTGTAGATGTATAGATGTCCTATTTTCTGTAACTTGTCTTGTGGATTCTGGACTGTTTATCACCTGGGAAATCAACATTAAAGCTCATTTTGAGTTCAATTCCTGCCTCCTGAGTTTGAGCCTATAAATGACTCAATAATCCACAGAGCCATTGATACAAGCAAACAGAACAAAACAAAGCTTCATACAAACAGACATATTTACTGAACATGAATGTGGGCTACAACAATGTAAAACAGGCTGTTGATGTGTGCACAATTACATGTGGAGACTAGGGGGAGAGTTACTGCTGACAGAATTCTGGACAGTCAACTCATTGCTGCTTGTTACAATGTATGCTTCTCTACATAGACCACCTGCATGTCGGTGATGCAAGCAGGAAATCTGACATGGACAAAGATGGAGTGGGTAAAAAATGGTCCCACTCAATGACAATATCTGAGCAGCAGATGATCTCCCAATTTCCTGTACATCACCAAGCACCTGTGGGTGCTGACACTAGTAAGTACAGATAAGAGTTAATGTACATCCACCTTTACTTGGATGTATAAGTGTGCATGCAAGTATTATAAAAAGTTAATTTTGTGAACATTCAATTGATATATATATATATTTTTTTTAATTTTCAGTAACACCGGTGGATTATTTATTATAATAATATTTTTATAATTATTCTTGTTATTATTATTATTATCCATTTATCCATTATTATTTAATATATATACTTTTACGTATATAGTTAAATTAATTTGGGTCAACAGAAAAGTCAGCTGCTTCAGCGCCACCGGGCCTAGACATCCCCGAAATCCATGTATCACTCGTAGTTCCAGAACCTTACAAAAAGTCAGATCTTATTGGTTTAACATATTTGGTTCATTTTGACCGTTGCTCATAGAACTTGTCACTGTGAATCCTCAAAGTGAATGATAGTTTTTCCGTAATGTAGATTTCGTTGACTATATTGATGCAGTCCTCCTGTGACGGTGGTTCAACCTTTAACCATTTCCTTGTAATGGCTTTTTTGCTAGCAATCAATAGAATTGCCAACAGTCTCATATCAGACTTCTTCCAGTTTTGCGTGTTTACAGCTCCCAAATATATACACTGAAATGAACAGGGGATTTTAGATCCATAAACAAAATTTATATGATTACACATACAGGACCAAAATTACATTACATCCCCAGAAGATATGATAATGTTTAGCTCCAGAGGTCCCACAAAGCCTCCAACATAAGTCGCGACCTCCTCGGTGCCTTTTTTGAATTGGTGTAATAAAATATCTCACTAAGTGTCTCCATCCAAACTCTCGCCATGTATTGGAGACTTTTATGGTCCACTGCAGTTGACACATTTTTACCCAATTTTCACTAGGGATGAGTACATTGCCCTCCATCTCCCTCTCTTAATGTATTCAGAATTGGTCTCTTTGCCATGAACATTCAACTGAAATGCTTGAGTGCTATCAGAATAATAATAAGACCAATAAACATCCCCAATATTTCTGAGAAAAGATTTTGAGGGTTTAAACTTGAATGATTGTTTCATTGTTTCATTGTTTCTGAAAAATCCCAGACCTCCAGTGCTAGCAATGAAAAATAACAACAAAAATGTTTTTCTGTTTTTTGATCTGTTTGTACAGCACATCTTAATACAGTTGCCCAAAATGGAAACACCAATTTGGATAAAGCAGGCGCTGTCAGAAAAATAACCAAAGTCAAAGTTGCAGATCCATTAAAGTGGAAGCAAAACAGGCAGAAACAGCTGAGGATGGAGGGAAAATCATATGTAAGCAAACGCAAGAAAGATGGTGAGATTGTAACCAAACACCCAAGAGCCATAGGACCAAGATGCACCTCGGATGCATGCAAAAAAGCGACAAATCGGCTATGTA